AGAAGACTTCCCGCCCATAGTTACCATGGTTACCCTTCTGTTTATTCTCCGCTGTGGCTTTTTTTCTCCCTCCCCGAGGCAAGCGTTTGCTCCCGCTGCTTTAATTCAATGCAATCCCTCCCCGTCGAGGCAAGCACTGTAATTCTCTCCGGTTAGTCCACCAGCAGATGACAAACACCCACCTCTCCGCCTCTTCCAAGGAACGAGGGGACCGTGCGTCAGAGTTTCAGTTTCAGTTTCTTTCGCCGGTCAAGATGTCCGTTAAAGTTTAAATCTTCCGGACAAAATTAGAAAAGTGCCAGTCAAAGGTCTTCTTTGTTATTTATTGAGCTTTAAAACAAATGAATAACGACTCTATAGGCCTATAATAATATAATAAAACACGGAGGACGGAGATCTCTTTTCCTCCCCCTCTTCTGACAGCCCAGCAGCTGATCAGAGCACGTCTCACCTCTCCTGCAGGGGGGCGTGGTCAGCAGAATCAGACCCGTAGACAGCAAACAGCACATAGAGCGAAATGAGGCATGGCTAAAATGCATGATCTGTTTGGTATTTTGAAAACAGAAACGTATAAATATACCTTATATAGGTATGGCCCTACAATATATCATTTAAATATAGCATGATAGGTCCACTTTAACACTTTTAAAGTCATATATTTGTGGATTTATATTGCATTTATTTAAAACAGTAACTATTTGTGTGTGGATCAGAAATATATTTGTGAAACTTTTTTACATTTTTACAAATCGCTAAGTATTTGTGTTTGCATTGAAACATATTTGTGTGGATGGAGACATGTGTGTCTGCTGCCTCAGGAGTCCCCTGGGACAACCAGTCTGAAAGGACTCCTGCTTCAGCTCCACCTCTCTGAGCCTCTGGTTTCCAGCAGCAGGTTCTTTGGGTTCCACCATAACAGCACCAAGACCTCCTGGACACAGCTTTGATCAGCTCAGCCGGGGCTCCTCGAGGCGTCCTTCACCCCGAGAAGCTCCTTCAGAGCAGAGTCCGGGATCCTGATCTGCCTGACAAGGCTCCATTAAAATATAAATATTTTTAGTGAATTACTGAGTTTAGGCACGTTAATAACGTTTTAATGAAGTTGAATACAGAATATTCATATTTGTCAGTGATTTCATGTCATTTCGGCGAACATAAACATAAATGATCGTGGTGAAGATGATGATTAAATTAGGATTAAAAATCGAGAGCCGGCTGCATTTCCTCTCGTTCGTTTTTTTTCGACTAAACAACATTATTTTGTTAAATAACAACATGGTGATGTTTTGTAAATGATTACATGTCTCTTATTTAGCACAGACTATGATCCTATCCGTGACATATGGATCTTAACAAAGATCCGCTATACAGTAGTACCAGACATACTGTACATCCAGCTTACTGTATCGAAGTTGATTTCACATGAGCTCCAGTGTGGAACCCCACTGCACCCCCTGGTGGATCAATGATCCATTGCAGCTGGCTTCACAATAATTACATTTATTTATCACGGGGGCGGTCTCAAGTCAGACTGGAGGCACTCTCTTGATCACAGGCCGTTCACGGGCCGTTCACGGGCCGACCACGACCCTCGCGTTTCAAACTGTCCTAAATTAGCTGCTACATCTGTAGTTGCCTTAGCTTATTTTGTTATGAGATGATGATGTGAATTACTGTTCAAATTAGTTAATGTAATAATCGTTTTGGTCTTATATTTCTTTTCGGGGGGGAGGCCCTTTTTCCAGTTTAGAGCAATAGCCCCTCCAAATGTCTGTGCACGTCATGGTCCCTGAGCAGAAGGAGCAGAGGATCTGCAGAGGAGGATGTTTGGTTGAAGACACAGGGAAAGGGTTCACTAATGGAGACCCCTTGCTAGAGGGTATCAGATGTAGATGTGAGGGTACCTGCAGTCTGTGTTCTTATCAACATGTGTTCTGTTGTTCATCATCAACTCATGTTGGAACTGAGTCCAGTTTGAATCTCTGAAATATTGTTTCATCTCTTTGATGGTGTGTCTTTGACCTCTGTTTGATCTTCTGTCCTCTGCAGACTCTGTCAGGCTGCTGGGGGGGACTGGTCTGTGCTCAGGTAGACTGGAGGTGAACTCTGACCAGTCTAACCAGTCTAACCCGTCCTGGTCCTCAGTGTGTGAGGCTGACTTTGACCAGCAGGATGCTCAGGTGGTCTGCCGGCAGCTGGGCTGTGGGGCTCCTTCAGTCCTCCAGGGGGCGCTCTATGTAGAAGGGGAGGCTCCAATGTGGACCAAAGAGTTCCAGTGTGGAGGCCATGAGTCTGCTCTCCTGGACTGTAGCTCAGCCTCAGAGAGAAAAACCTGCTCACCTGGCACAGCTGTTAGCCTCACCTGCTCAGGTAGAGAGGAGCTGTGATTGGTTCATTCTGTTCTCATCAAACTCACTTTATTCTCTCTCTGATCACTCTCTTGTTTCTCTTCAGAGCCTGGTGGTGTTCAGCTGGTGGGAGGAGAGAGTCGCTGCGCAGGAGACCTGGAGGTGAAACATGAGGGAGAATGGAGACCAGTGGGGGGCGATTACTCTCTCTGGACCCTGAAGGCAGCAGCTGTTCTCTGCAGAGAGCTCGACTGTGGCTATGCTGTTTCTGTGGGAGAGAGAAAGGAGTCCTTAGAGAGATCTCTGTGGTACATCGGCTCTGACTGTGTTCAGTCTGGATCTGCTCTGAGGGAGTGTGCAGCATCACATTCCTCTCTCTCCTTCCTGACTCTCACCTGCTCAGGTAAGCCCATCAGTGACATTGTTTATGACATCATGTCCTCTGTCTCTTTGTTAGTCAGTCTCTCTCTCTCTCTCTGACAAAGAGACAATCCCTCTCTGCTACCTGGACTGTCACAGACTGAAAGCTCTTTGTAATGTCTTCAAAGCGGTGTCTTCAGACTGAGAGGAGGTTTTCACAGAGACTGTTTTTATTGTTGCTGCTGGGGCAGGCAAACATGTGGATCTCCAAAAGCAGGAACAACAAAGTAAACAGTACAGCAGCTCAGCAACTCACTAACATGTGTTTCTCTTGGTGAAAGCAAGAGTGAGTGTAGATTTTAGATTTCACTCTCTGATGAGAAACATGGAGGAGTTTTTAAACCCTTAGTGTTTCACTACATCTGTCTCTCTCTCTCTCTCTCTCTCTCTCTCTCTCTCTCTCTCTCTATCCTCTCTCTCTCTCTCTCTCTCTCTCTCTCGTCTGTGATCTCGCTCTTCCCATCTCTCTCTCCCCTATCTCTCTCTCTCTCTCTCTCTCTCTCTCTCTCTCTCTCTCTCTCTCTCTCTCTCTCTCTCTCTCTCTCTCTATAAATTCAATTCAATTCAAAGGAGCTTTATTGGAATGAAAGTTATACGAAACAATGTTGCCAAAGCATCAAAATACAAAATAATTAACAACATTAACATACATTTCAAATGTTTACATATTATTGATATATATATATATATATATACAGTGATACAATTACACTTCAACACGTGTGTGTGTGTGTGTGTGTGTGTGTGTGTGTGTGTGTGTGTGTGTGTGTGTGTGTGTGTGTGTGTGTTGCTTCACGGGCAACGGCGGCGAGGGCTCTGACGTGGCTCGTCACCATGACAACCACAGCACATTCCAGAGCATGTCGCGCGCTCTCAGAGTATTACTCAGAGTGGCGACGCGTGATAATAATATGCAGCAAGGCCCACCGGGTAAGCCGGCTGCCCCTAACCTGTCGGTTATAGGCAGCATGGCTCGCTGCATAAATCGGCTGTCTTTAAAACCTATTGGTTTCTAGGCAGCTCGGTTTTTCTCCTCTGTCCCAGACCTCCTACACACGGTCGTAATGAGCCCACGAGTGCCATTATTACAGTGTGGACAGCACTGCACACACCTCCGCTCATCCCTCAGGGGTGTTGAGCCTGAACGCACCTCAAGGTCCGGTTTACGAGCTTTCTCCTAAACGCGACATAAATGAGAGACTGTGTGAAATGCAGCGTCTGTAGGACTCTGGCGTGGCTCGTCACCATGACAACCACAGCACATCCAGAGCAGGTTCGCGCGCTGAGTGGCGGCGCGTGTGTTCGATGGACAGAGCGAAGTAACATGCAGCAAGGCTCCCCGGTTAAGCCGGCTGCCAATAGCCTATTGGTTACTTGGCAGCATGGCTCGCTGCTTAAGGCGGCTGGTTTTTTAATTTATCAGTTAAGGCGAGACAATAGGGTAATTTTTTTAACTTAAAGATATCAGCTAAAAATTTCTCCAGTTAATTACTTACAATAAGGCAATTGTTTTTTGTATTACAAGTTTTCTGAAATAGCATGTTTAAATATGCAAATGAACCATTATCTCATGAAATATGCGCATATTTTAACACATTTCAGGAACCGAAATCTGAACTTTGGATAAAGCCAGGATCAAAATTCTTGTTTCATTTTGTAGTCTTATTAGTATCTAAAGCTTTTACAGAAGGGATTTTGGATATCTCTTTGTATCATTCCATAAATCAGAAAATACTGTCAACAGCCCTAAAATATCAATTTTCGCCCTGTTTTTAGGTATAAAATGTTATATAATTCAGGCTATGAATTATATATGACCAAACCCTTCTGTAAAAGCCTTCATAATATTGATAGGAATATAACTGGAAGGTTTGGTGTATGTAACTGCTACTGAAGTGGACATTTCGAACTCAGAGTAGGAGAAAAAACTCATTTTGAGAAAACGACCTTTAAAGATTGCAGTGTGACGCTAGCTAAACCCTCCTGTTATCTGGATGATAGCTTGCGCATCGACGCACTCCGTGAAGGTATTTCATGTTCGGGGTCATTTGTTTTTTGTATAACCTTGCTTTGTGCAAGTGACATATGTTGTCGTCTTCTCTGTGAACGTTTTTTTCTCCGTTATTTTGCCATTTTCAGATTTAAATTTCTAGCGGAAAGCTAACCAGGAAGTGCTTTAGCACACCACGTGACGCATCTGAACGAATCACGTTGTCAGAAATTGACACCAGCCAATGAGATTTCGTTTCTTGGTTTAAGACCCCTTTGCACTTTCACGATTGGTTGCTGATACAAAGGAAATGACCATATTTGGATCCGATGAGATTGTGCAGGAGAAACGGAGCTTTCCAACGATACCTCTGAAGACATGGTGCAAACAGCGGTCGCGGTACTTTATGTTACGTTAGAATGCTAACTTTTGGTGAATGTAGGAGAAATCTACAGACGCAAATAGACAAACTATAGTAAAATAAACACTTAAATGTGTATTTTGTACGTTTTCCTTCCAAAAGCCTGAAAGAAAACATGTTATGGAATCAAAATAGCACAAAATCTCAAAATTGACCAGTGCAGGAAAAACGATGTTTTTGCCTGCCGTGTCTCGCCTTAATAAAACAGCAGGGCTTACTATTCAATTTGTCTACCTTAAACCTTCCGGTTATTAGGCAGCACGGATTTTTCCTCTGTCTCAGACGTAGGCTACCTCCTACCCACGGTCGTAATGAGCCCACGCCCCCCAGGTGTCATGCTCAATGTACCCGTCTCCCTCTGGCCCTCACACAGCAGAGAGCGGACGCTCTCGCTGCTGCTGCGGTCGAGGATGATTGGGCAGTCCAGTAGGTTTACTCCGTGGACGAAGCCCTGGATTTCCTGGGTCCGAGTGGAGGGCACAAGTCGGATGACTACGCCCCCTCCATTCATGGATCAAAGGGGCTATTATTACGCCTCGTGGGGACAGCACTGCACACACCTCCGCTCATCCCTTAGTGGTGTTGAGCGTGAACGCGCGATTTACGAGACTTCTCCTAAACGGCGACATAATGAGAGCCTGTGTGAAATGCAGCGTGTGGAGGGCTCTGGCGTGGTTTGCCACCAACCACAGCACATCCAGAGAATGTACACCCGGCGCTATCAGAGTATTACTCAGGGTGGCGACGTGTGTGTCTGATGGACAGATGGATGAGCAGGCGGATGGGCAGAGGGTAGTCTCTGCTGTTCGCCTCTCCCCCCCCCCCACAGTTCTACGGGATACAGGGAACCCTGTCATCCCAGGAACCGTGTCTCGCGCTCCATGCAGAGTTTTTACTCCCGCTATTTTCTGGTCCCGAAGGAGACGGGGCAGGGGGAATGAGACCCATCCTCGATCTGTCAGTGTCCAACAAGGGAATGGCCTTTTCCCATGCTGACGATCAAACAGGTGCTGGAGTGTGTTCACCAGGGAGACTGGTTCACATCCGTCCTGAAGAGGCGCGTTCACACCAAGTACTTTTCCCACAATAGTTCATGAGAACTTTAGTTCATGAGAGCTCTTTTAGTTCTGATGAACTAAAGCAGATCGCGTTCACACCAAAATGAGTTCCTGGGGGTGGATTAGGCAAATGAACCGCTGACGTCACTTCTTCTTCTTCTGCTTTGGGTTTACTGGCAGGCTGCAAACAACTTCACGGCGAGTACAGTAGGTGGCGGTATGCACCTTAAAGTTGCAATCCGCCAAAAAAACGAGAGAAAAAGAAGAAGAAAAACCTCCCGCGCCCACTTGCTGTTAGAGATGGCAAATCCGGATCCTTTTACGGACTCAGGGTCTTCTGAGTCAGTCATTGAAGAGATCCGGATCATACGAGTCATTTGAGTCATATGAGTCAGCATCACCAAGACCGTAGAAATCCTATCGGTGAAACCGAAAAGTTGTTGCATTTCACGAGCATATTAAACTGACGTTATATTAACTTCCGCTACACAGTGTATTTTGCTTTAATAAAAAATGTTGATCACAAAAAAAAGGGTTATTTTGCGATTTGGCGAATCTGAGTCTGCTGTTGACTCGTGCATGAGGACGAGTCTGGATCTCTGGATCTGCTGCTATATGGTTACGGCTCTGAGTCCGCACGAGTCTGCTCTGCTGTGTTTTGCACAGTGAGTCAGGATTTGCGAATCTGAGTCTGCTGTTGACTCGTGCATGCCGACGAGTCTGCTGGATCTCTGGATCTGCTGCTATATGGTTACGGCTCTGAGTCCGCACGAGTCTGCTGTGTTTTGCACAGTGAGTAAGGATTTGCGAATCTGAGTCTGTGAAGTTCCGCTGACTAACTCGTAGGCTACTGGTCTCTCTCGATCATTGACCTGGATTCACAGATCCCGCGATTTTGATTAAGTCCATTATGTTTCCGGCTCTAAATGAAGTTTCAGTGTAGACTTCTAACAAAATTGTCATGTTGTGCAACAGTCTCCTGCGTGTAATAGCTGCATTTCCAATAAGGATCTTACTTGGCAAAACGTTTATTTTGAACATAGCACACAAAAAGAAACAAACAATGACAAATGATAGAAAATTGCAAAACAGTTAGAATATATAAAATGTCTTAATTATACAATTATTATTATTAAACATATAATTATATCTAATCATATGCCCCTCATATTTTCTCATGGACTGCGTAATCATTGCAATACTGGTGTTTGTATGTGTTAAATGTGTGTAAAGTGGTGTCTTTTGCTTTAATAAAACATATTGATCACAAAAAAAAGGTCATTTTGCGATTTAGCGAATCTGAGTCTGCTGTTGAATCGTGCATGATGACGAGTCTGCTGGATCTCTGGATCTGCTGCTATACGGTTACGGCTCTGAGTCCGCACGAGTCTGCTATGTTTTGCACAGTGAGTCAGGATTTGCGAATCTGCGAGTCTGCTGTTGACTCGTGCATAATATAGCCGCGGGAGCCGGGTGCTGGAGGAGGGGCTATGCTCGTGCACATGACGAGTATG